GAGAAGTTGTTTTCTTCCATCGCATTAAAGATATCAACTATTGTCTTCTGGCTTTCATTGTTGCCATTAAGAAAGAAGTCAGTTCTCACTCTGAATGCTGCTCATTTGAACAGAGTCTGTTTATCTGGCTGCTTATAATTTAATTTAAAATTTTTTTACTCTGGTAAAATACATGCAGTGAAACACACAGACCTTACATGTTATAAGTTAGTGAGTTTTGACAAATGCATATACCCATGTAACCCACAGTCTGGCTGCTTTTAAGATCTGCTGTTTTCCTTTAGTGTTACTCAGTTTCACTGTCTATCCTGCTTGAAATTTCTTGGATCTCTTGAATCTGTGTTGCTTTATATCTTTCACTAGTTCTGGAAAATGCTTTATCATTATCTTTGCTCTATTCTCTCTTCTCCTTGCAGAACTCCAATTAGTTAGATTTTTTTACTCTACTCTCCATGTATCGTATCCTCTCTTTCATACTTCTCTCTTTGTGGCTCTCTGTTTCATTCTGGATAATTTCTTCTCATCTATCTTCTAGTTCATTAATCCTATCTTCAGATGAATCTAAACTGATCTTTGGGTATTTTAAAAGAACATTTAAATAGAAAATTTCAATCACACTCAAAAGTATAATGAACTCCTATGTACGTATTGTCTTGCTTTAACAGTTATAAAATATGTTCAATTTTGTTTCATCTATACTCCACTAATTCCTCCCAGATCCCACAGGATTTAACGCAAATCCCAGACATGGTAAATAGATGAATGTATATCTCTAAGAATTAAGGAAGATTTAAAAAAGCATAACTATAAAACCAATATTATATCTAACAAAATTAATAATTTCTTAATATCATATGATATCCAGTTAGTGTCCAAATTTTCCTGACTCATGAAATTCTTTTTATAGATAGCTTGATTCAGGATCCAAACAAGATCTGTGCTTTGCATTTGGTTACTATGTCTCTTAGATCTCTTTTACTCTGTAACAGTTCTCCTCCCCCTCTTTTTCCCTTGCAATGTACTTCAAGAAACTGTGGCATTGATGCTGTTTGTTCCAGATTACATTCTTGTGGTGTCATTTAATATATTCTCCTATTTCTTGTGTTTTTTGTAAACTGGTAGTTATATTTAGAGTCTTTTTTAGGGGGCAAGAATCCTTCATAGATAATGCTTTGTACTTCCTATGATATCACATCACGAACCACTGGTTGTTCCTCCTTGGGTGATGTTACATTTTACCAGTGTATTTCCATGGTGTCTGTCTAATTCACCATAAGCCTCTTACCTAATGTTTTTGCTGATCACTGATGACTCTTGCCTAGATCATTTATTTCATTAGGATTGTAAAATGATAGCAGCATATTATTCATTTTGCACTTATTAGCTGAAGTTCTTCTATGAAGAATAATTGTCTCTTAATTAAACTGCTTAATTACTTTATCCATTCACTTTTTAATTTAAAACTTTATATTTTTCATTTCTAGAGCTTCTATTTTAAATGTTCTAGATTTTTTTAACCCAACTACACCATGGTAGGATCATTTTTATTGTTTCCTGTTTTCAAATATATTTTTAATTTTCTCTTTTATTTCTTTAAACAGAGTAAGTGTAATTATTTTATAATCTATGTCAGATAATTACAATATCTAAGGTCTTTTAGGCTCAGTTTCTGCTGTTGTTATTTCTTCTGGTTCTCATTTATCGTGTCTTATCTCCTTGTGTGTTTAGTTATTTTTTTATTATAAGCTACTAATTTTCCTTGGAAAATGATTTGTAGGAGTTCTTTGGTGCCTAGGATGAAAAGACGTTTTTCCAGAGTGGATTTGCATTTGTTTTTGCCAAGTGCTTGAGGCCTTTTATACTCACTTCCTTCTGGACCACTCACTGTAAACTAAATTTACAAATTGAGTTTTTTGTTACTGTTGTTTTTTAAACCAACCAAATCTGAAATTAGACCGCAAATTTCTTTAAAGGCTTACTTGTGGTCACAAATTCTTCTGTTCTGTTTCACACTAAGGCAACTTTTGTTGCAGTTCCCTGGGAACTGGGGATGTAAGGGAAGGTTCACTACAGGAAAGAGCTCCTTTCAGACTCTCCACCTCTAGTGGGTCTTCTATCCCTTCCTCTGGAAAACAAATAAAGAAAGCTCAAGTCTGCAAGTTTGGCAAATGTCCTCCAAGCAAATGTGGCTTCAGTGTTTTGAGAAGCCTTCTAGGTTTTTGACTTCATTTAGATTTTGGCTTATTAATTCTTTACTGTCTGGTTGGCTCTACCATGCATTTTTTTTTTTTTTTCTTGAGACAGAGTCTCACTTTGTCGTCCGGGTAGAGTGCAGTGGCGTCATCACAGCTCATCATAGCTCACAGCAACCTCAAACTCAGGGGCTTAAGTAATCCTCCTGCCTCAGACTCCTGAGTAGGGACTGCAGGTGTGCCCCACGACACCTATTTTTAGTAGAGACGGGTCTAGCTCTTGCTTAGGCTGGTCTCCAACTCCTGAGCTCAAACAATCCTCCCGCCTTGGCCTCCCAGAGTGCTAGGATTACAAGCGTGAGCCACTACACCTGACCTCTATCATGTTTTCAAGAAGATATTTCCATTTTTCTCAGCATTTTTTAGTTGTTTTTAGTGGGAGTATCAATTGAATACTTAATCTACCATATTGAAGAAAACTGAAATGTTTAGGTTTTCTAGCACAACTTTTTATTTTCGTTAGAATTAATAATTGTCTTTTTCCCTCCTTAGCTTTCTACCTACTCATCACGAATATATCCCCAAAATCTTCTCTGCTTATGGAAATCTCTCCTCTATAAGTTCAAATGCATTAGGCATACTACTTATTTTCTTGAAGAAATCACTCCTAAATCCTTCTGAACTGCTTTAATTTTAATGACTTGATCTCTAGTCCCATCACACAACTTGGTATCTCCCTTCACCATAGCCCTGGGGATTCCTTTTGTCCCTTTTTTTGTGCTGGATCCTGTTTCTTGGATTTCATGGATTTCTCTTTTTTGTCTTACTTTTTTAAATCTTGGTGTAATAAATCCTCTCTTATCTTTCTGAAAAGGAACGCACAGAGTATCAATATTTTGAGAACGTGCATATCTGAAATATTTTTTGTTATGGACTCACAATTAAATCATAGTTTGCTGAGTGTAAAATTCTAGATTGGAAATAATTTCCCTCAAAAATTTGAAGACATTTCCTATGGTCTTCTAGCTCCCAATGTTGATGAGTTGATAATCCTAATGCTACTCTGATTTTTGATTAGCGTATGCAGCTTGTTCTTTCTCTCTGAAAGCTTTTGGAATTGCTTCTCTGCATCCAGTGTTCTGAAATGCTGTAATGATGTGCCTTGGTGTGGGTTTGGTTTGTTGTGGTGAATACTTAGCGTGCCCTTTGAATTTGGAGGCTCAGTTCTTTAGTTCAGGGTAATACTTTTAAATAAAATTCCTTAATTTATGAAGATTAATTTAATTGACGATTTCTCCCCTTCTGAGTCCGTATTCCCTTTCTGGAAATCCTATTTAGATGTTCAACCTTCTGGACTCATCCTTTAATTTTTATCAATTTTCTCCCAAATTAGAACAAATTTTATCTTCTTCAACTTTATTTTGCAGTCTTTCTATAGAATTTTTATTTCTGCTATTATGGTTTTGATTTCCAAGATCTCTTTTTGCTTATCCAAATCGTTACTTTCAAATAGCTTCCTATTGTCATTTTATGGATGCATTATAATATCTCTCTGAGAATATTGATGATGGATGTTTCAAAAATTTGGTTTATTTTTAGATTTTTTTTCTTCCTTGCAATTTCCATTTCATCTAATGCATTTTTTCCTTCTTGCCTATTTTGGTTTCTTTCTTGTATGCTAAAATGTCTAATGACCCTTGGCTGTTTGTTTATATTTAAGAGTGTGGACATTAAAGAGCTGATTGTTCTGCAGAAGAATAGGCTCAAAAAAAAAAAAGAAAGAAAGAAAGAAAAAGAAAAGAAAATGCTGATTGGAAAGTGGGGGTGAGGATCGGGGTATGTAGGCCAGAGGCTTAAGTGTAGAATTCATTCTAATTGTCTTTTTCATTAAGAGAACCTTAATGAGAGTATGTTGGGGACTTTTTTTTTTATTTCAGCATATTGTGGAGGTACAGATGTTTAGGTTATGTATGTTGCCCTTGCCCCCTCCTCGCCCCCTAAGTCCGAGTTTCAAATATGTCCATTCTTCGGGTGGTGCACATTGCACTCTTTGTGTTACAGATACCCGTCCCCTCCTCCCTCCTCCCTCCTTCCAGGGACTTTTCTTTTGCCTAGTGAGATTCCCCTGAGAAGGCTTTCCATAGGTATAGTCATGCTCTTGTTTACTTTTGTTTCGGAATGAATTTTCTCAAGTTTGCTAAACCAGATACCATTCTTCCGATTGATATCTGGATTCCAAAATATTGCTGTTGTTGTCTTCTTTCCCTTTCTTATGGCCTGCAAAATAATACACGCATTCGCCCTCACCATCTTTAACTGGAAGTCCCAGTAGAGACCGGGTCTTGCTGTATTGCTCAGGCTGGGCTTGAACTCCTGGGTTCAAGGGATCCTTCCACCTTTGCCTACTACAGCCACCGAGCCCGGCCGGCCCCATCATTTCTTTAGGATAATGTCACTGGAAGACAACTGCCGGATCATAAAGGGAGACTTTGACACAGATTATCTGATTGTCCTAAAGTAGTATGTATATATGAAAAGAACTAAGTTTCTGTATAATTGTTTTGCTGCAAGTATTAACTAACTTCCAGGGGTACTGCACACGCCCACACAAATGCCTCAATACTCCGCCTGGCAGGGGGCGGAATATGAAGCAAGAAACATCTGAAAAAGTGATGAGATGACAGGGACAGCTGGGCTAAGACAAAGAAAAACTTCTTGAAAGGGCCCTGAGCATAGACCATGCCTCTCTGCAATTGGGGAGGGTAGGGGGTGGTGGTGTTTGATCTCGTCGATGATTAGTTGGTCTCTCTGACCAATCACGCGCAGCGATTGGTTTTGCTAATCGTCGTGATCCACCTCCCCGGGGGAGGGGGGTTTGGGGGACAACGTTTACAAATGGGAATAGGGTACGTGGGAGGGATAGATCGTATAGCCAATGAAATCTTGTGGCGCTAATGGGCGGGGTGAGGCCGCTGCCAGGTTTAGGGCGGAAGGAGCTTCTCTGGATAAGAAGGGGAACGTAAGATGGCGGCGGAAACGCTGCTGTCCAGTCTGTTGGGGCTGCTGCTTCTGGGGCTTCTGTTACCCGCAAGTCTGACTGGCGGTGTCGGGAGCCTGAACCTGGAGGAGCTGAGTGAGATGCGTTATGGGATCGAGATCCTGCCGTTACCTGTCCTGGGAGGGCAGGTGAGGAGGCGTTTAAAGGGCGAGGGTCTAGGGCAGAAGAGGAAGGGGTTAAGAGATAGAGGAAGAAGGACAGCTGGGGAGGCGGAGTGTGGGTCGAGAGCCGCGGGGAAATCGGGGAGAGTAGGAGTGGGGAGGGCTTTTACGGCGACTCCTGGGGATCGCAGACAGAGACCCATTCCCCGGGGGTCAGGAACTGGGAGGGGTGGGGCTTCCCGCTGTCAGCCTCCAGGTCCCAGTTCACGATCGAAACACCCAGACTCCGCCCCCGTGGAGAAATGGGAGCGCTCGCTCCCCTCACCCACCAATTACAGCTGGAGGACTTGTGGCTCATTCTGTCTTCGACTGGCCTCTTCCCCAGGGTCTGAAGAGGGATTTCGTTGTTCTCCCTGATCCCAGCCTTTCTTTGCCTCCCTGCTCCCTGACCCTCCCTTGTTTCCCAGAGCCAAGCTTCAGACGTGGTGATTGTCTCCTCTAAGTACAAACAGCGCTATGAGTGTCGCCTGCCAGCTGGAGCCATTCATTTCCAGCGTGAAAGGGAGGAGGAGGCACCTGCTTACCAAGGGCCTGGGATCCCTGAGTTGTTGAGCCCAATGAGAGATGCTCCCTGCCTGCTGAAGGTGAAAGGGACTGGGATGGATGGAATGAAAGCTTGGGACGTAGTAGCCCATCTGAAAACCGGAATGCCAGTGAATGAGGCGGAATCTAGGGGACTTGTAGGAGTTAAAAAGGCCACTGGTGGAGTAGAAAGATTAGACGATCTTGCAATCACTGATGACACTGTGCTAAATGTAGGGGAAGGTTAGGATAGAAGATCGCAGAAAATGGTTAAAGCAAGATTGAGATGCTTAAAGATGGTCACTGTGTAGTAGAGTGGTACTTCCTTAAAGAAGCCTACTTGGTAAAGTTACCCCCTGCCCCAGTATCCTATTTTCATTATGGCACTTTTCATGATCTGAAATCATCTTATTAACTGAATAAGTTTGTGTGGTTTTGGTCTGAATCCCAGCACCAGAATGTAAGCTCCATGAGGTCAGAGAGTTTATCTTGTTCACAGCTGTATTCCTAGTGGAACAGTGCAAGGAATGTTGTAGAAATTCTATTAATATTTGATTTGGGAGCCTTCTGTGTTTCCCTGATATGAGTACTTCAAGGTTACCGTGATTTCTTATCTTTATGGAGGGCAAAGAAGGACCAAAAAAAATCTTGAGGAGGAATGGAAAGACCACAGGCGGAAAACAGATTTTAGAGGTATCTCTCTGAGTCACAGAAAGAAAACAGCTCTCCCTCCTCACTGGGAGTGTGGAGAATTGAGTGTGGAAGTGGAGGGAGATGAGCAGTGGGTGAGAGGTTATGTGTCTTGGACCCAGGAGACCCTGGTTCCAAGAAGAGACATCTGCACTCCATACCCCTGATTGCTTATTTTTTAATTGTCAGACCAAGGACTGGTGGACATATGAATTCTGTTATGGACGCCACATCCAGCAGTACCACATGGAAGGTGACTCACTCCCACATTTTCCCTAAGCCCTCAGCATCATATCATGGAAAGTGATCTCCCTGCCTAGTCCCCTCCTAGTCCTCTTAAATAAAGAGTAATTGTGTTTTACTGTGGCTTCTCTTGCAGATTCAGAGATCAAAGGTGAAGTCCTCTATCTTGGCTACTACCAATCAGCCTTCGACTGGGATGATGAAACAGCCAAGGTGGCAGGCGTGTGGGAATGGGAGAGAAAGGGGTCCTGCCTGCAGATTGAGAGCCCTGACAAAAAGCGGGGGGGGGGGTCAGGATTAGCTGATGTGTTTCCTGGGGCTTGGTGGAAATTAGGACAAAGTCCCCTGGGACCTAGATTCCCTGTTCCTGTGGAGGTGCAGTGCCATTCTTCCACCTTGCTGTCTTTCTCACGCCCCTTCTTCCTGATGTCTTCTTCAGGCCTCCAAGCAGCATCGCCTGAAACGCTACCACAGCCAGACCTACGGCAACGGGTCCAAGTGCGACCTCAATGGGAGGCCCCGGGAGGCTGAGGTTCGGGTGAGTCTTGAGAGAGGGAAATTGACACTCTCTTAGTGACAATTCAAATTCTAAGGGAAGAGCACAGGGTTGCATCTTATAGTCAGGAGGCTCTCCCAAACTCTAAACCCAAGATTTAAAGCATATTTCCAGCTGCCAGATAGATGTCATTGCCTGGATATTCAGAGGCACTTCAAGGCAGCATTTCCCAGATCCTGCCCCTATACCTCCAACCACATTTAATCTTTTCCACATTTCTTCTTTCTGTCACCTAAGCTATTGATATAAACCGGAGTGTCATCCTTGTCTCTTCTTTTTCCTTCACACTGTGCCTCCTTTCTTCATTTAACAACTCTTCAGTGAAGTTTTGCTGTATATGCAGGCATTGAGGCATTGGGCTCAGCTCTGGAGACACAGTGGTGAGCAAACATGCAGCCCCTGCCTTCACGGACTGCATAGTCTAGAGGGGAAGACAGATGTTAACAAAAGAATCACAGAGTCTAGGATTACAAACTAGGAAGTGAGTGAAGGAAAGGAATCTAGCTTTTTGTTTTGTTTTTTTGTTTTTGAGACAGGGTCTCACTCTGTCACCTAGTCTGTGCAGGGGCACAATCATAGCTCGCTGTGACCTTGAACTCCTGGGCCCAAGCAATCCTCCTTCCTCAGCCTCTTGAGTAGCTGGGACTCCAGGCGTCTGCCACCACACCTAGCTAACTTTTTTAAAAAAAATTTTTTTTGTAGAGACTAGGTATCACTATGTTGCCCAGGCTGGTCTCTAACTCCTGGGCTCAAGCAATCCTCCCACTTTGGCCTCCCAAAGTACCCAACAGCCTCTTTTTTTTTTTTAATTTTTTAATTTTTTTTTTTACTTGGGCAGCACTCTGCACCAGTGAAGGTTCAGAGAGCTCCATCCCAACAGCCTCTTAACAAATGCTCCTCATCTAGTGGTCCCTAGCTGAGTTGAGGCAGCCAGTTAGGCAGATACATGTGTATGTGTGTGTGTGTATGTGTGTGTGTATATATATATAGGTATATATATATGGTGGGAAAAGGTCCTCACATGATTCTAATGTATTCACAAATATGCACACCTATAGAGAACCACATAACCACATGACACCTACCAGAGTTATCTTTTCATAATACAGATTTGCATCTGCAGTTGTGTTGAACACCCAGATCTCTGAGGGGCAGGGAGGGAGCCCTGATTTTGTAATATTTGCTAATATCTGTGGTATAAATACTCCCACCATGCCCAAATCCAGCTGTCAATGTGATGTGAACCATCCTGCAACATTCCCCCAAATTTACCAGTTGGTTCCAACATAAGTGTGTGTCACTTCTCTGCCCAGTCCTGGAAAACCTTCAATGATTCTGCCTTGCACAAAGGATAAGATCCAAATGTTTCAGCACAGACAGGATGGTGGCAGTAGAGGTGATGGAAATGACTGGATTCTGGATATATTTTGAAAATAGAGCCAATAAGATTTGTTGATAGATTGGATGTGGGATAGAATTAGGATGACTCCAAGCTTTTGGCTTGAGCAGCTGGAACAATAGAATTGTCATTTACTAAAGTGTGAAGGAGCATATTTGGAGGAGGAAATTAGGTTGGTTTTGGATATATGTAGGTTGAGATGCCTGTTAGACATCCTAGAGGTGATGTATAGTTGGCATTTGGCTCTGTGATTCTGGAGTTCAGGGACAAGTCTGGGATGGAGACATAAATATTCATTGTGTTTCTGCCACACTGGCCTTCTTTCTGTCTTTGAACCAGTGGGTCATATTGTTTCCTCTGCCTGGAGCAATCTTCCCAAAGATTGTTGAATGGTTGGCTCTGTCCCCTCATTCAGGTTATATTTAAATGATACCTCTACAGGGAACCTAACATAAGCAAACAGACAGAGATACACAGACACACCCCCCTCACTGCTCCTGTCCTGGTTAACATCTACAGTGTTTTATAGTCTTCAAAGCATGTATCATTATCTGAAATTATTTTATTTGTTTTAGTTTAATATCTGTCTCTGCTCCCACTTAAATAAGCTTTGGGAAGGCAGGGATAATGTCTGTCTTGTTTTCTGCTGTATCCTCAGTGCCTGGAATAGTTCCTGGTAGGAAGTAGGTGCCCAGAAATTATTCATTGAATGAATGGAATGAGTGATAAGCCGGTTCAAATGTCAACTTTCCTGTAGAAGAGGATTAAAAAAATGAAAAAGAAAAAAGTCACCTTTCTTGATTAACCCATGAAATTAGTTAGTTGTATTCCTTAAGCACTTCATGTACATGTAGCCACATATACCCACAAATATCCATGCACATATATACTCTGTTACAGCACTTACTTCATTGTATTCTAGTTATTTCTTTGGGTGTTTGTACCTTAAGTAGGCCGAGAACTGAGGGCAAGGACCATATCTTTCTCATATCTATTGAACATATGCCCTATGTCAAGCACCGTAATAGAACTGGTGATAAAATGGTACTGACAGACCTAGTCCTGCTCTCAGGAGACAGATGTTAAATAAACATTCACAACAAGTGGGATGAATACGATGACAGATGAAGTACAGACTGCAGAGGAACACACAATAAAGGAACTAACCAAATCTAGGGTAAAGGGGAGGCCTCCTGGGAAAAGTGATATTTGAACTGACAGTTGGAGGATAAGGATATAGAGGAGTGGGAGAGGGGAAGAAGAGGGCATTCCAGGTGGAAAGTTCAGTAAGTACAAAAGGCCTTGGAGGCAAGAGGCCATACCTGTCCCAGGACCTGATAGTCACAGGGACTGGAGGGGATAATCATGAGAAGGGGAGTGTGGGAGATGAGGCTGGGCAGTTTTGGGGGAACGTGCCACAGGTAATGAAGGGCTAATTTTTCTATTTTTTGTAGAGATAGGGTCTAGCTTTTGCTCAGGCTGGTCTTGAACTCCTCAGCCTCCCAGAATGCTAGGATTACAGGCATGAGCCACCATGCCTGGCCCCCTTTGCCCATTTTTGAATTGGGTTGTTTTTTACTGTTGAGTTGCGGGAGTTCTTTATATAATATATTCTGGATATCAATCCCTTATCAGATATATGATTTGTAAATATTTTCTTCCATTTATTGCCCTTTCACTCTCTCGATAGTGTCCTTTGATGCACAAAAGTTTTTAATTTTGATTTTATTGCCTGCAATTTTGGTGTCATACTTAAGAAATCATTGCTTAATCCAAGGTCGTGAAGATTTTCACCTATGTTTTCTTCTAAGAGTTTTGTAGTTTTAGCTTGAATTTAGGTCTTTGATACATTTTGAGTTAATTTTTATATATGGTATCATTTTTGTTATGGTCCAGCTTCATTCTTTTGCATGTGGATATCCAGTTTTCCTGGCACCATTTGTTGAAAAAGACTGTCCTTTCCCCATTGAATTTTCTTTCTTTTTTTTTGTTTGAGACAGAGTCTCACTCTTTTTGCCCAGGCTAGAGTGAGTGCTGTGGCATCAGCCTAGCTCACAGCAACCTCAAACTCCTGGGCTCAAGCGATCCTCCTGCCTCAGCCTCCTGAGTAGCTGGGACTACAGGCATGCGCCACCATGCCTGGCTAGTTTTTTTCTACATATTTTTAGTTGTCCAATTAATTTCTTTCTATTTTTAGTAGAAATGGGGTCTCGCTCTTGCTCAGGCTGGTTTCGAACTCCTGAGCTCAAACAATCCGCCCGCCTCGGCCTCCCAGAGTGCTAGGATTATAGGCGTGAGCCACCGCGCCCGGCCCCCCCATTGAATTTTCTTGATATCCTTATCAAAAATCAATTGACCATCTATGTGAGAGTTTATTTCTGGCCTCTCTATTATATTTCATTGTCTGTATGTCTATCATTATGCCAATACCACACTGGTTTTTTTTTTCCAGTTTTACAAAGTGTTGCTTTTTTTTTTTTTATTTCAGCATATTATGGGGGTACAGATGTTTAGGTTACGTATGTTGCCCTCACACTGTTTTGATTATAATAGCTTTGTATTAAGTTTTGAAATCAGGAAGTGTGAGTACTCTTTGTTTTTCTCTTTTTAAGATTGTTTTGGCTATTTAAGATCCCTTGAGATTCCATGTGAATTTTAGGACTTTTTAAACAATTTTTCTATAAAAAACACCAATGGGATTTTGATAGGGATTGCATTGCATCTGTAGATCACGTTATGTAGTATTATCATCTTAACAATATTAAGCTTTTCAATCCGTGATCACAGGATGTATTTCCATTTATTTATGTTGTCTTTAATTCTTTCAGCAATGTTTTGTAGTTTTTGGTATACAAGTTTTCACCTCCTTGGTTAAATTTATCCTATGTATTTTATTCTTTCTGATGTTACTGTAAATGAAAAAAAATTAATTTCTTTTTTGGATTATTCATCATAACTGTATAGAAACACAACTGATTTTTGTATGTTGGTTTTATATCCTGCAAGTTTGCCAAATTTATTTAGTAGCTCTAACAATTTTGTGTGTTCTTTGGATTTTCTATGTATAAGATCGTGTCATCTGGGAACAGAGATAATTTTACTTCTTCCTTCCCAATTTGTATGCCTTTTATTTCTTTGTCTTGGCTAATTGCTCTGGCTAGAACTTCCAGTACTGTGTTGAATAGAAGTGGTAAAGAGTGGGCATCCTTGTCTTGTTCCTGATCTTAGGTAAATGCTTTCAGTGTTTCACCACTGACTATGATGTTAGCTGTGGGTTTTTCTTATATGGAGTTTGTCAATAATTGAAGACATTCCCTCCTATTCCTAGTTTATTGAGTGTTTCTTACATGAAAAGGGTATTGAATTTTATCAATGCATTTTCTGCATTAATTGAGGTGATCATGTGGGGTTTTTACCTTTAATAATGTGATATATTACATAGATTGATTTACCTATATTGAACCATCCTTGCATTCTTAGAATAAATCCAACATAAATCATGATGTATAATGCTTTTAATATGCTGCTGAATTTGATTTGCTACTATTTAGTTGAGGAATTTTATATCTGTATTCATAAGCTG